CACACACACACACACACACACACGCACACACACACACACACACACACGCAAGTGCCATGACTCACAGCCAGCATTACAGCTCAGATCAAAGCACTACTTCAAATTCGTGGTTGGATGTTCTGTATTAGACAGCAAATGGCCTGCTGACAAACAACGGCACTGTTTTGTTGAATGCAACTTCCCTTAACCGCCCCCGATAACCTCTCAATCCCACGGTCTTTACCCTTCGAACTGAAACTTACACACACACACACAGGCCGTTTCGAGCGCCTTGCAGTTATCGTTAACCCAAAAAAAGAAACAACAAAGTGGAAACTGAGCATCCCCCTCCCCCCCACCCTGCCGATGTTCTGTGAAAACTTGTGTATTTTCTGGCATCTGAAAGAGAATACTCCCTACGCACCCAGAGAGAGATGTGCTGACAACGTAATACAGGTCAAAGTATTTCGGAGAGAACACGCAAGTTGCTTACCAACTGCACTGCAGCGGCCAACCCCTCATGCTCTTCCCTTTAGTTCGCAAAACTTTCATACCTTTTGCTGGAAGAGCCATCCATCAATGGTGTTCGGGGATCCTTCGGCCCCAGTGAAAGGATGAGTTCAGGTATCTTGGTTACCATGTTCATTGCAGTAAGCGCAGACTTCAAACCAACATCTCATGTCACACAGTACACAATTCACCACACAATAGACGAGAACCAAAACGCCTGACATAGAAATTGAATTTATGCAACAAGCTTGCATAACACTGGGCGTCTATGGCTCCTAGCTAGCACCTACCAAGGACGTATTCTCTCTCTCTCTCTCTCTCTCTCTCTCTCTCTCTCTCGGCCTATGCTACACTACAGCTATGGCGGCCAGCGCCTGTCCGCTATAGCTACTCTCAGCCTCACTTCTTTGTCTCCATCTTTACTTGGGCACACTGCTGTGGAACAGCAGTTCCGCAGCCAGCGCAAATAGAATGAATGTTGACGGCTGTTGATGTCCTTTTGCGCATGACAATTCGGCTTCCCAGCCTTGGACTTGTAGGCTTAGTGCCCAGTAGCCTGTTGGCTTGCGTCTGTCAGCCTTTACTATTTTCGTAATGTTAAGAAACTTTGCTGAGACCCTGGACTGGATCATCCAACCTACCGGGTGGCCAATTGCCAGACCAACCTAGACTAGGCCTCCTGGACCCTTGGAATTAGTGCTGACAAAACATGAATTATCATGGTTGCCAACCAGACGTCCGAATACCGATCCAGACAGTCCGGAGTCCGATTTGGCAGGTCCGGTAACACACATTTTCGAAAAAGAACATTTTTTTTGGGGGGGGGGTCCCTGGGCCATTTGCAGTTGCCTGGGGGGCCCCTAAAATTGTTCAGACAGTTTTTTTTCCGAACGTGCTTCCCAACCAGACCAGCCCTGAAGGGCCTGCTGTTGGAAAACTGGGGAGGGCAGTATGACGACTCAGAATCGGGGTATTCATGTCCAGCCGGAGAGAGGACCCCATTTTCGAACAAAGCTTCTTCTGTAGCAGCGCTCCGCCTTGTGTAGCAGCACTCTCGTCGAAGTTGCCGCCCGCTCCAGACACAACATCGCCAGCTTGAGCTCCTCAATTGCCCAGGACTCAAGGAGATTGCAGTCAACGAGGAGATCACCGTCGTGCCGGGGAGGTCTACCCAATCTCCCGCTCAAGCTCCAACATCGAGGTCAGTCTCTCTCTCTCTCTCTCTCTCTCTCTCCAATTTATTTTATTTTTCCGTCGTTTGGAAGTATGTTGTCAGGGGGACAACGAGAGGGAGGGCGACAATCAACGAGGCTGGTGCAGGTGGGGGAGGGGGAGGGGAGGGGGGGGATCTGATGACAGAGCAGTAAGCAATTGACAATGGAGCTGTAAAGTTAACAGCGGAGAGAGGTCTAGCGGGGAGGGCGATCACATAAGAGAGTGTTGGAAAGGAGGAGGTCAACAGACAGGAGTCTTCTGGGGAGGGTTGATTGGTTGGTTGATTGGTTGGTTGATTGGTTGGTTGGTTGATTGATTGATTGATTGATTGATTGATTGATTGATCAACCACCTGATTGATTGGTTGATTGATTACTTGATTGATTGACTGATTGACTGATTTATTGATTGATTGATTGATTGATCGATATGTTGATTGATTGATTGATGGGATGGGGAAAAGGGAGGGTAGGGAGTGAGGGAGGCTCTAACAAAAGTCAGGCATTACCTTTGCAGGATACCGAAGAATGGCAGCAAAGGTGTGAAGAAGCACTTCTGTGACTTGGGGCCCTATGGGCCAGTGGACAAAGGAAACAGGAACAGGAAATGCAAGTATTGCGACCAGCCCGTCGTGGGCACTGCAAGTACAGCCAAGGACCACTTCCTCAAGAACAGGTGCAAGCTTGGGCGGTTGAAGGCCACATTGAGCAAAGAGGAGCTGCAGGAGAGGTAAAAAGGGAGAAATGCTGCAATCACAAAGATAAGCTGACGCGCCCTCCAAAGAGGACGACTGTGAGACAAACGACAGGGAGGCAGAAGCAGTGCCACCAGTCAGCGTCGCGGGGGCATCTGGATCGAGGACTGGGATGAAGCAGTCCTTGATCAAGGACAGTGCCACCGTTGCTACGAAGAATGAGGAGACACAACGCTCAATCGACAATTGGATGACTGCCCACTGCACCCTCTTCAACATGACGAAGAGTGAGTGGGACAACATAGTCAATGAGCGCGCACCAGTCCATCAGGTACGCAAAGTACATGAAGGCAAGAACCACTTGTGTGGAGGTCACCAAGGGGCGGGTCGCAGCAAGGGTGGCGGAAATGCGGCGACAGTAGCCTGTCACCGATTGCTTGCTGCAGCCGAGCGGTTGGACTGATCATCAAGCAAGGCCACACATCAATGTGATGGTGTCTTTCTCGAAAGGTACGATATTTTGGCGGAGTGTCTCCATGAGTAATTGGAACAAGGGGGCGGTTGCATATCACAACATAAACGGGCAATCGAGGAGGTCCGGGAGGATGCTGTTCTAGGTGTGTTAATGGACAACGCTGCAGTGTGCGCAGCTGGAGGCCGGATGATCAAGGCCGAGTTCCCTCACATTTTCTCGATTCCCTGCACGGCGCACATCATCCACCTCATGCTGGAGGCGTTCACCAAGATTGGTTGGGTCGATGTCATGATCAAGCGCACAGTCGAGGTTGCCAAATTCTTCACCAACCACGCACTAGTGAGGGACCTGTTGCTCTCCAAATCAAGCGGGGAAATTGTGGCGAAACCGAGCGCAACCTGATTCGCCACAAATTTCATCATGTTGAACAGTCTGCAACGCCTCTACCTGCCCATTCAATCCTGCTTGATCGATGAGGCGTGGAAGGCAAGTATTGTCCTACCTACACAGCGACATCTGTTTCATGCAGCCAACGAGACCATACTCGACAACGCATCTTGGGCTGGTGTGCAGAAGGTGGTGGATACCTCAAAGCGCCTGCTCGCTCTTTTGAAGTTCGTGGACGGAGATGGCCCCACAATCAGCATCTACGGCCACATGGACATGGTGGAGAAGTTGAAAGAGAGCAAGACCTTCACAGAGGTGGAGAAGGATGAGTTGGAGACCATCACCATGCGGCGATGGAATGTCATGACATCTCCACTGCATTGTGCAGCGATGTTTTCGGATCCTGAGTGTAAAGCCAGCAAGCCGGAGCAGGATCTGGAGGTCTCAGACAGGTTTTAGACGTGGGTCTACTCTGGGTGCAAGACAGCAATGTACAAGGAGGTGGATGATGAGGTGCATGCTGCCCCACCTCCAAAGATGGGCAATCCGGTTGCTCGGCCAGGGCTCCTCCAATTGTGCACGGAATTGGACCCTCTTCGAGCGCATCCACTCCCGCCCGCAAAACAAACTCGAAACGGTAAAGCTCAACACCTTGGTGTACAACAGACGGAATCAACGTCTGCGGAAGAAGTTGACGAGGAAGCCCAAGGCAGGAGGATGAGCTTTTGTGGAAGGAGGATTTGGACCTCGAGGAGAGGCTCATGCTCATATGGACAAGCGTGTAAAGTGCCGGTCCCGTTTGCGGGAGGAAAAACGGAGACGGGAATGCAATGACGAGGTGGAGAACAATGATGACAATGTCACAGATGCGGTTGAGGAGGAGGAGAGCAATGGAGAAGGACCAATGGTACACACGAGGATCCAGGGCAGTTCCATGAATGAGGCACATACCGAAAAAATTATTGCTCCCGACTGAAGGCATCAGCATTGGCACCGAAAACGGCCAAACGTCAACCAG